ACAGTCCTTGGGTTAATATTAGGTTAAACTTCAGCTCAGTCTCTTTTTTTATCGGTACCAGTACCGGTGCAGTGGTACTACCAGGAAGAATAGATACAATGACTCGTATTAGCTGCCGTGTCACAGCAGTAGAGTGGGGGGGGGGTTTGGTGGTGGAAGTCGGGCAGTTGAGAGGCTGATGGTTTGATCCATCACTGTAGACGACCAGTCCGTCTCTGAGGAGGACAGTGTTGTTGGGTTTTCTCACAGAACAACCCGCTGTCTCAACATTACATTTCCAGTAACTGGAGGTTTATACCAGGAGGTTCAGGAACAACATGGTTTCCAGCTGTTTTACTCCAAACCCTCGGAGCTCGATCGCTCGCTCCAGATTAGCATCGATTGTTATCTTTTAACTGAATTTGTTTTGTTTTGGTTTTTTTAATGCAAAAAAGAACAGTTGACTTCACTCTGTGTGTGGAGTCGGGATTTGGTGTTTAGAGCTAGAGTTGACTCCATCTGAAACCAAATCCAAGGATGGATCTGTTGATTTAAGTGCGTCTGATCCGATACCTTAGCCTGAAAGCTCATCTTAACTTGCCAACATGCTAACTTGGAGCTACATTCCATAAACAGGGACACCATCGCCTCGGCAACGGCATGATGGAGGATAAAAAGAAGGTATCGGACAGATATCGGTATTGGTAGATACTCCAAGTTGCAGTATCAGTACTGGACATCGAGTATCGCGACATCCTTAAACGCAGTCTCTTTGAATGAGTTCTTTTCACTGGTGCCTTTGAGTTTAGTGTGTGTGTGTGTGTGTGTGTGTGTGTGTGATTGACACACCTCAGTCACTAAGAAGATCAAACATATACATGACACCGCTGTGATCCAAACACATACAAAGCAGTATATATTTTTTATTTCCCTGCGTGGCTTTTGTCACAGATTCATCGTTTCCACATCAGGTGACGATTCTCTCTCTCTCTCTCGCTCTTGTACTTGTCGGAGGCGGTTTATCACACACCACCAGCGTAAGCAGCTCATCCTGTTGGCGTTAAATGGAAGTGTTTCGTTGCTAAAACCGTATTTATAAAATAGGAGGAGATCCCTCTGAGCCCCGGGTCGGACGGTGGCGAAGTGGATTACGCTGCAGCAGCAGAGCGTGCTGGTGAGGTAAACCCTTTAGTTGCATTTTCTCCTCAAAAGACAAACACACACACGGACATAGAGGGGGCGGGAGTTGTGTGTGTGTGTGTGTGTGTGGGTGGGGGGGGGCACTCGTTTAGGACACGATGCAGTAATACACTTAGGTAATGTTCACATGAGTCGTTCTCCAGGGCCTTGTTGAAAACTGCAGCACAAACAAGGTAGGAGGGGGAGTTAGTGAGCTTATTGTAATTATTGTATTTGTGAGAAAGGCATTGAAAATGTAACTCAAAGTGCAGCAGAAAGCTGGAGAGGGCTGCTCTTTAGAAGAAGTGCTCCAGGCGTTGGCGCTAACGTGAGTGGTTATAAACGATGTCATGTGACGTGTCTGAATGGTGTTAGATGTAATGGAAACCGTGAGTCACATCACTCAGAAAATTCACAATTTATGGATCTAGAATTCCCTGTAGTTCTGTCCCAGCACAGCAGTTTAGTCTTTTCACTAAATACCAGAGTTTCTAGAAGTTCGAAGAAGAAGAAGAAGGTTCTAGAGTGAGGGCGGGTTGGGGGGGGGGGGTCTGTAAAAAAACCAGGACGGTCCAGTTGTCCTTCACTGACTGATGAGGAAAAGATGAGCAGGAAAACCTCTAAACTTATCAAACTTACGTGAGTAGGAATGGGTGGATTTGGTGAACGTACAGTGAGAGGAAGCAGAATTTAAGAGATTATTGTAAATTTGAATGAGTTTTATGAAATTTGCCGTTGTTTTCATTCAAGAATGAAACAGAAACGTTTGCTCGTCGTCTTGGAAACTTTTATTCATCTCAGTTTTGTCTCATGTCAGACTTTGAACGACTCTTCATGACTGATTTTTCACTGGGTCAAATGTGGTGTTTTATAAACATCCTCAACTGTGCCGTTCCACAAAAACCCTATGAAGTTATTTATGTGCTGCCCCCCAATGGTCGGTGACTGGAATAAACCTATTTATAGAGCCTGTATCACATCCTTATAATTAAAATTTATGATAATGGGATGGAGTGACTGGGTTATGTTCTGACACCGGCTCTAAATTAGGTTTAACCAGCAGAGTAGAGACCAGGGTTGGAGAAGCTCTCTATAAATAACAAACTATTTAAATATTACCGCTGAAATGAGCGCTCATTTGCATGGATATAAAAAACAAAGTGTACAATGAGGAACGTAGACCATAAATATTCACGCTCTGAGGTCAGAGGCCTCGGGAGTTTACACTACGCTCTCCAACACCGAGGCATCATGGGAGGATGGGGTTTTAAACAGATTCCGTCTGACCTTGAGAGGGCGCCTGTGTTTTACACGCTGTGACAGGCCTGTCTGCAGCCCCACTGTTTACTCCTCCTGCATTTGTTTCAATTAAAGCAACACAGTCCTTCATTAGGACACCGAGTGTGTGTGTGTGTATGTGTGTGTGTGTGTAGATCACACGACTCCCAAACGAGGGCCTCCTGCCGCGCGGGGTAATTGTTGGAAGAGGAAATCAAAATGTTTGGGATTGAAAACATACTGTGGCACACTCCAACGGTTCTTCCTAAGATTTCATCTTTTTTTTTTTTTTTTTTTTGCCACACTGGGTTGAACTGTTGTGAGGCATCTGTTATGGCTAAATGACTTTCTCACTCAAAGTTCCCCTCATTAGCATATCTATCTGACACACCCTTCTGCCTACCGCCGTCCTCGGTCGCACGCTGACACCCGCACGCGCGTGTGCAGCTCTGTTTTCAAGGACAAAAAAAGATTTTTTTTTTTTTTTTTGGAATACATTTAATGGTGCAGTGATAACGGTAATCAAAACAGATGCCTCCATTTATCAACGGCACACTGCTGACTGGGGTTTCTCTTTTTATCCACCGCTAATGCTAATTCTCTCCTTTTCAACACTGGCTCCACAGTTGTATCAGTGATGCACAAGATTTATTTCAATATATGCTCTGAAAATACGATAAGGGTAAAAGGGAAGATGTTATTGTTAAGTATCGTACTAATGAAAATCAAAGGTCAACTCAGGCTGTAGCAACGAGACATTTAACAGCTACTGGTCACCGTTCCACCGATCGGTCAGACAGGTTGGTCAATAATCAACTGCTTTGTAATCCCGGCCCCCCCCCCCCTCCCCCGCCTCCCAGACATCTGAGGTTGACGTATCCTTTAAAGAAAATGTGATCCCCAGCACTTTTTCCAGCAAAACGGTGTCCAGTTGTGAGGCCAGACTGGCCCTGCAGATGGCGGCGTCCTTATTAATGGTCAAAGGCAACGAAAGGCAATTTCCTCCACTGAATTTATTCGTCTTCACCAGGACATTCTGTAGCTCTCTGCCTCCCCCACCTCTCAATAAAGTGAATTTATAGTTGATGCAAACATTAACAAGAGCGCCGCCGCGTAAATAAACACGCCGCGGTTTTACGATTTATGGCTTATTGTCAGACCTTTTTCATTGGTGTCACCGCCGCCACCGTCAGGTGTATCATAGAAGAACAGGTTGAATCCAGCCTCAAAGTAACGTCTTAGTAAATTTAATGCTCGGCCGTTGGGTTATTTAACCAGTGCTGTGCATATTTACGTTTTGTTTCTGAGTGTGGATCAGTTTGATCAACCGTTACGGCCCGCGGCGAGGACGAGGGCGTGAGGTGAATATAGATTTTCTCAAGTTAGAAAGATGAATGTCATCATCATTATATATGTAGAATCATTTCACCACGGCAGGTCAATTTTTATTTTCAAAATAAAACATCTTTTAAACTTTATGTCCCACTGAGGCCCGGTCCTAAATGACCTACGTACCAGTACCAGTCCCCGGACCAGGGATTGAGGACCCCTGCTGTAGAGGACATTTGTTGTTAATTTTATGGAAAAATACATTTTAAAGCAAGTACTTGTTAAAAGAAGTACAAGTACTACTTACAGGACACGGATGGTTTCTTTATTGTTTGTGAATTTGTAGATTTCATCTGAGTTTTCTCGGTAACAGGGATGTTGTATTATCGCACTGCCCCCTGGGGGCTACACTTGTCGTTTGTTACTGTTAAATGTCACGATGCCATGCCTTGGAATGACCGGCGACTAATCATTTGCAGCAGCCGACCTTCGGAGAAACACAAACGTTAGCTGCACATTGACCCCAAAGAAGGGAAAAATCAAGAGTCCGTAAAAACAACGGGCTCGTTCCACGGCCCGGTCACCTGCCGCTCCCCGAGGTTCTCCTCATAAAAGTAGTAATTGTTGTTCTTTAAAGGTCTCATATATAACCACTGAAGATATACTGCAGGTCATATATATGATGTGTTGGTGCAGTGGGCCGTGACGTGTCGCTGTGGTTGAACAAAAACAGACTCGGGTCGATTCTCTCTCTCATTTTCTTCCTTCGTGGAGAAGTGACTTCGGACGTGAGAGTGAAAACACTGTGGCTCCTTCAAACACGTGTAACTGACAGAATCCCTGCAGCAACTGACCACTAACTGTCAGGGATGTTCGATCCCTGCAGCAACTGACCACTAACTGTCAATGATGATTGAATATATCGGCTAACCGAAATTATCGGGCAATATTAGCATAATTACGTAATATCGGTAAGAATTACCGATATAATTGCTTTTTCCTCCGATAATGAAAAATCCGATAACGTGAAGTCAAGATGATGTGACCTAAAAATAGAGGGTCAATTATCGTCTTTGTGACGCAAACAGCTACGTATATCGGTATCAGTTATGGGAATTGGAAATTAAGTGTTTGGACAATATCGGATATCGGACAACCTGATTATTTTTAGCTATTTTTACAACAGAATAGTGCCATAGATAAAACTGAAAGTGTTTACTCTTTCTCTCCACTAGGAGTGATCTACACGACTGACATGTTGGACCGGGAGACCAAGGACTCCTATTGGCTAACAGTGTATGCCAGCGACCACGGTGTGGTGCCCCAGTTTGCCACCATTGAGGTGTTCATCCAGGTGGAGGATGTCAACGACAACGCCCCGCTCACCTCGGAACCCATGTACCGACCCTCGGTGACGGAGAACTCTCCACGAGACGTCTCTGTGATCCAGATCCAAGCCCAGGATCCTGACACCACACCGCCCGCTGCTGGTGAAAAGCTGAACTACCGCATCATCAGTGGAAACCCGCAGAACTTCTTCACCATCAACAGCAGAACAGGTGAGTGAAGAACAGCTGATCCACGCTCCTCAGTGTCGTGTCGGTGTTTAGTTAGCTTGGAAGCTAACTTTGGTGATCATTGCTCTAGGTCAAACTTGTCAAACATATGTCCCGCAGGCCAAAACCGGCCCACTAGGGGGTTGATTCCGGCCCACTTAATATATTTTAAAGGCAAAAAAAAGCGCAATCATGTTCATGATGTTGATGATGTAAAATATATCGTTAAATATTAAGATATTTTTATACACTTTGTTTCCGTGGAAAAAGAGTGAATCATTATTATTCATAGAGTTTGACAGTCCTGCTCTAAGTACATCTGTTTGTTGATTTGTTGCGGATCTATTGTGAATTCGCCTTCTGGTCCAGAGATGTCTTTATTAGATGTGGAATTTGAATAATAGTCAGGACAAGATTAGATTTGATCGTGTTTACAAGACAAACGACATTTACAAGCAAATGTCACTCGTATGAAATCACAAATGTGTGACTCATTAAAATGGCCGACTGGTGTTGGTATGAATGTCACGGTTTGGTCTGTGACTAGTTAGACTATAACACAGGTTTATTAATGATCACACGGTGTTTGCTCAGTGGCGACCCCTTCACTCTGAACGTGGTATTTCATTTACCTGTTGTTTTTCTTGTACGATTCACATGCAGACGGCAGACATTAGCGGCTCCTCTGCCGATACCTGCCACACGTCGGCCTTTTAGTGTTGATGGTGGATGATAAATATTTAATTTTGTTGTTATGAAACTTTAATAAGGCGCAGCAGATCAGGCGTCAGCCTGGCATCACAGCTCATCTCTGATTCACACACTTCTCTGGAGTTTATTTCTTCTGTTCCTCGGCCTGTCGGAGCTGCCGTGTGTGAAACACGACATTTGTTGGATTTTTTTTTTTTTTCTTTGGTGACTGCTGCAGAAGATGACAGGTTGTGTTGGGGAAAAGACTCCTGCCGTCTTTGTGAGGCACGTTTTGGAGAGACTGTTGAGTTACAACTGTTCTCTTTAACCAGTGCAGCTGTCCATGGGAGGGTGGGGGGGCAATCAGCAAGATTTAAAAGTATATATAAGTAAGTCACCACTCACCCCCCCACCCTGGAGACAGGTGCAGAGAAGAACAGACAGACGAAGCTGAGCTGCTGTTTTAGCCAAGCAGTCATTTTGTCGTCAAGTGACTTTTTTTTTTTTACGTTATGACTTGTTTAAATATATGATTTGGTAAAACACATCAGTCAGTTCAGGTCTTTGTGAACTCGTAGTAAAACTCTCAGCAGTAGAACGTGGAACATTTAAACCAGAGGTGTCAAACATATGGCCCGTGGACCACAACCGGCCCACTAGAGTGTTCCATCTGGGTTTCTTGATGAATTTTGAAAATAAGAAAACCAAACCACTTCCTGCTTTGTTTGTATTATCAAATCATTATTTCATTGATGTGCAATCTAAAGCGATAGTTTATATACGTATTTCATGATAGAACTCCAGAAAAACAGGTCTTATTATAGGAAAATATATTTATATAAAATATATTTATATATTTACATATATTTTGACAAAAATAGATGACTGATACATAATTGCCTTTCTTCCTCATACTTTGCTCCGTAAATACACCAAATAACTGTAACATGTAACAAACATAAACAAACACTTAAATATAAATATATAGCAAGTGAGAGGAAAACTGTCCAAAAACACGCTGAGCCGAGATAAGGGAATGTGTTTTTGGTCTTTTTATATCGACTCGTAAACTGCCCAGGGTGAAACCTCCCTCTGTCTGCTGAGGTTTGGCCTCATGGTCCCAGCAAACCTGAATAGAATTAAACAATAGAAAATGAAGGCATTATGAATGTATTGCATCGTGTTGCGCTGCCAGAAGGCAGAGGCAAAATGCCCGCAGTGGAGATCTTGTTTGCGTAGCTATAAAATGAAATGAGGCGAGCTTTCATTTCCCCAGACAGCTTGATCCAGTTTAAAAAACAGCCGGGCTTTACCTGCGCCTTTGTCCATGCATCAAAAGGAGTCCAAGATCAGTGAAATATGCTACATTTTCAACACCGATTTCACAAAACTGGCAGAACACTGTGATGTCTCAGAAGAAGCTCCGCGGCTTTCATCGGGAGAAAGGTCAGTGGAGCTCCAGGGGCGTTCAGACAGGTAAATCCTGGACATCTCAGCCATCAGCAGCGTATAAAGTCCACCGTGGAGGACGTGATTTGTGCTGCTGACCTTAAGACCTCCTCTTTCTGTGCATGTCTGCAGTGCCAGTAAATTACCTCAGAGTCGTCACTTATCGCACAGACTTCTGTAAACCTGTCTTTGTGCTCATCAACCCGTAGGTTACTTGGATCAGCGCCACTAATCTCCCCGAGCTTCAGTTAAGTACATTACTGGGCAAAGCGTAATTACCGAACAGTTTTGCGTTAAATTGTTTTGGCGTGATCTGGAGACACATTAACGTGTCACAGATTTGACTAACGAGTTTACGGAGGCGTGAAAAAAGCATCTTGAAGGAGAATATGAATTTGTTTGAGTTGATGAGAGAGTGTTGGAGTTTGAGGTGGTGTTCAAGGTACAGGACGGCCCACATGACCCACGGACCAGAACATGAGTGGAGACCGTGGACGCTGTAGTGTGCAGGACAGACTTGGCGGGGGTCGACAGAAGAAGACGGAAAAGTCATCAGTCGGCAAGAGAGCCGTGTGTAAGATGTGATGTGTGTCTGGGTCTGAAGGATGAAGTCAAAGGAACTGTTGTCCGACATCTGGAAAGAACGTTATCATGTAATACAGGAGAGCAGCAGCAGTAACAGCAGCAGCAGCAGTAACAGCAGCAGGAACAGCAACAGCAGCAGCAGTAGGAGCAGCAACACCCCGCGGCGCAGAACCCG